TTCCTCCCTTGCCCCGTCCCCGTGCCTCACCATTGTGGTATACACCAAAGCAACCACAGCCGCTGCAAGCTCGGCGATGAAGATGATGAGCAGGATGACAAAGAACTGGGTGGGGGACAAGGAAGCGCACTTTAGGAAGACCGCCCTCCTTGCCCTACCCGCTCCCATCAAAGAGGCAGGGGCTCCCCCACGGTGAGGCTCCCGGAATGCTGGGTAAGCTTTTGGGCTTCCCCAGGGGCTGGTGTCGGGGATGAAGGGACCCTCGGTTGTGGTTTGGGGAGCTGGGTCTGACACACCATCATGAGCGCACACTTGCTCTCCGAGTGAGCACCGTAGCAGCCCAGGAAACCAAGGATAAAGAGGACAGCACCGGCCGCGATGAGGAAGTAGCCCACGTTGACGAACTGCATGGCACTTGATGACAGTGGCCCAAAGATCTTCAGGAAGGACGGCCCGTCGACGGACACCCAGATCCCCACAGCCAGCAGGGCCGCACCGCACAGCTGGGGACAGAAGTCAGTCTTTGAAACGGTGCTAGTCACGGTTCCCTTTCTCACCATGAAGTCTGGAAACTTTCCCTTGACCAGGGATTCTAGCTACCTATTGTGTGTGGAGGGAAACATCAACTAGTACCAGAAAGATGGGAACTGGGACACACAAATTCACCAGTCTGTTCACCTGGGAAGATAAAAATGAGATCAGGGGTTCTAGAAATATCCACAGGCTGGGAAGAGGCCCAAAACTTTCCTTTTTCTGTAGTCAGGGTCCTGCCACATAGGTAGGAACGGAAAACAGGTCTCGTCACTCATTCTTGGGCTGTGGGTGCCTACAATAACTCTGTTCTCTGATACATGGAAGCGGGCGGGTGGTAGTGTGGAGCTGGTTCAACAGTCACTATAGTAACAGCAGGGTGAGGCTTCCACCTGCTTGAAACCTTGAAAGGGGCGGAGGTTGAGAGGTTCATCTACCCAAAGGCCCTATTTGATTTCTCTTCAGGGTGGAATCAGCTGCCAGACTCCTTTTCCACCTAGACCACTGCCTGACAAGTAAAAACTGAGGAAACAGAGGTTGAAGCCAACTACAGCTTCTCTTCAAGACACCGATCTAACCTCAGGGTTCAGAGGTGATGATCTTGAGGCTCTGAGGGGGTTCAATGGAGGCCCTGGTCCCACCGCTCCTAGAAAACTCTTTGCTGACCCAAGGGCTTCGGTGGATCAGCACTGGACACTGACTTGTGCCCAGCTCCCACTGTCCAGCTAAGGAACCGAGTCTGGGGCAGGGGTAAAGAGATGTATAGTGTGGTTGTATCCCAGGATGTTTGCTTAAGGACAAGAGAGCTGGGCTCCTAGCCTACAGGGTCAAATTTCAAGGAGTCTGGCCTTCCTACCTTGTTCTGTCCAGTCTGGCAAGGCCTGGGCAACAGAGGACAGAAACCAAACTGGATTTGCCTTTAACCCTATCAGGCCAGAGTCCCGGCTCTCCCAATTGTTGAAATCTTCGTACTTCCTTCAGTTATATGAATGAAACCTAATTCAAGGCAGCCAAAGGAAGTCCAAGGTACAGACCACATTGGAGTCAAAGAGACTATCTACCCTCCGCCCCATTTCTCTCTTCTTCCTTCCTTCCTCTTTTCTTTTTTTTTTAGTTTTTTGAGACAGGGTTTCTCTGCAGCCCTGGCTGTCCTAGAACTCGCTCTGTAGACCAGGCTGGACTCATAGAGATCCTCCTGCCTCTGCCTTCCGAGGGCTGAGATTAAAGGTGTGCGCCACCACCGCCCGGCTCCTTTGCCCACTTTCTTTAAGCTGGTGCACACTTCGTGCTTCTACTTTCTCCCCTCTCGCTCATTCTTCTCTGGTGGCCCTGGCCACTGTTTTCTTGTCCTTCCTTCCTACTGCCCCATGCCTCCTTCACGGTGCCTATTTTCCTGCTCATCTCTAATACTTCCAGTTTCCAAAAACTCACTTTTTTTGAGATCAGGCGTTCTAAAATATTCACGGAGGTTGGGGGGAGTGGAAGACAGACTTTCCCTTGTTGTTGCCAGGGTTCCAACCACCCCTATAGCTTCATTGGCTGCTAGCAGGTGCGTAGCTTTCAAATATCCGTGCACCTCCACTGAGCACACAGGAGCCTGGGGGATGACCCTTCCTTCTCCCCGCTTTGCTCAAGCTGTTTCTAAGACGTCTTCTACATCTGTTCTACCACCCCTCTGCAAGGAACCCCTTCATTTACTGTGTCCTTTCTTCTGTCTCTATCTCCAGGGCTTGGGCCTCATGGCTCAGCTTCTCAAACAAGCCCTATATAATCTGTTCCTGGTTTTCTAAACAATATCAAATTTCATTACCTCTGGGCCTTCCTACGCACTTTACAGCCCTCACCCCCACCCCACCCAATGCAAATGTCCAGCTTCCGCTACTTCCTCCAGGAAGTATTTTCCTACTAGGCTAGATTCAACCCTCCGGGGACTCCCTTAGCCTTGGTGGTAAATCTGAAAGTACCACTTTGCAATTATCAGTGTATATAGCAATTATCAGCCTGTTTGACAATTATCAGCCTGTTTGGTTTACTGGTCCCGAGATCCTCAAGGGCGGTTAAGTGGCCCTGCTTGCTTTCTACCCTTGCACATAGCATAGAGTGTTAGTCAGTGAATATGTTTTCCTTTTTGTTTGTGGCCTCCCGCAGGCTAAGCAAACGCTGTGCCACTGAGCAACAATCCCAGTCCCTTCAATGTCAGCCTAGTCAATGAATGTTTGTTGAATACATAAGGGTTGCCAGTCAACTCTAAGAGGCACAAGCCCGCTCTCCTTTCAACGTCTCCATTCATGGTAGTCACTTTTGTACTATAAACTTAAGCAGACCCCCTTTCCCCTCTGAACCTTGAAGGCCTGTAGAAAAGGGGGAATCACTCCTGCTAGCCTATCCCGACCCACACTGATCCTTCCTGGAAGGGAGGTGAGAGCCTGAAGCATCTCCATCCCTAACCTTCCCATCTTCACCCAAACTCCCATGTGGCAGCCAGGCTCTTAGTGGGGCTAGGAATCAGCATTTGGGAAGACCCTCGCTTCCTATTCATTAAGGGGAACTTGTAGGGCAGAGTCTGGGTACATAGTCTCCTATTCCCCAGCTTGGGCTATGTTCAGATTGTGACTTGCTTTTGTAGGGAACCCCCAAAAGCCCACAATCGCCATACTTACAAAGATGATTAGATTGAAGAGGAACATCATGACCTTAAGGAACTTGAAGCACTGCATGGTGGGTCCTGGGAAACAGACATGTACAAATTGGGACCTTCTGTCCCACCTGCCCTGGGCTGGCCCTGCTTTTTGGACCCTGGCATACCAGAGTCTAACATCCTGTGATTTCTCACTAATTTTTGACCCTGTGTCTGGACTCTGATATCTCAGAACTTTTCCCAGTTCCCATCCTGACTTTCCCAGTTCCCTGCCCACCTCTACTACCCAGATACTGTTATCAAACTTAATTCCCTGATCCTAACATCCCCAGATTCTCACACAGATATTACAAGCCCGACTCCCACACTGTAGGACTCTCAATTCCCTTTTCGGATACCTGCCTTTCCTGGTCTTCTTCATGGACCAACCTTAGACTCTTTCGGTACCTTCCCACTGGCTTTTCCCAGAACCCCAAACCTGTTTCCAGACTGGTCCATTCACAGGTTAATCTCTGCCCTGTGCCATCACCTGCTCAGGGCTCTTGGTAATAGGTTCTGAAGAGGATCTGCTGCGCTCCCGAAGAAACAGAACAGCTCCAGGAAGCTGCCACTTGGTGTACTGGCAGAAAGATGAGGGATTGCCCAGTCCTCACACAGCACTGCCCATCTACAGGTGAGGCAGGTGCTTTAAAAGCCTCCTGCCGCCCGCCCGCCGCCCCCGCCTCCCCCTCCCCCGCCCGCCGCCTTCTGGCTCCACCCATGGTTGATCAACCTCTTTTGCCCTGCTGCCCTCTACTGCCTGGAGACAGGTTCCCAACACCCAAAACAATAAGTAAATCTCCACCTGGAAATGTCACCTATATGTCATTTGTCTCTCCTCGTCTCAGGAAAGGGGTTGAGGAGGCAGCAGAGTCAGGAAAGCAGTACCTTTCCAGAACTTGTGTGTGCCCGGCTCACAGTAGTGTAATATGATCCTTCCCTCGAATCTGTGTGTTCACTGGCACCCACATCTGCTCAGGTTGCCATCCCTATGTTTACACACAAAACTCACATATATAATAACATGGACCGATACTTCTGAATGTGCAAACACACACACACAAGTACATGCACACACTCGTGAACACACACGTACACACACATTTATTGGAGCACACACATGCATATGCACACACTGATACACATATGCACATAAATAAACATGCTCTCTCTCTCTCTCTCTCTCTCTCTCTCTCTCTCTCACACACACACACACACACACACACACACACACACACTTTCAAGGAAATGGTCACAGTCTGGCAACCTCTGTTCTTTCCTCAGAACAGGAAATGGTTCTTTGTCCTCTTCCCTCCATAAAACCTCAAGTTCCCCATCCTTCTCCCCCTTCATCTGTTTGTTTGTTTGTTTGTTTTTTAATATCCTTTTGCTTGCATATTTCTGATATGTGAGCCTGGTTCTCTTAGAGGTCAGTGGAGGACATCAAATCCCCTGGAACTGCAGTTATAGGAGGCTTTGAACCACCCTGTGGGTGCTGGAAATCCAACCAGGGTCCTTTGCAACCTCTTAACCTCTAAGTCATCTCTTCAGCCCCCCTCCCTTTATCTTTTTGCTCCTCATCTTTTTCTCTTCTGTCTCCCCCTCTCCATGTTCTGGACCTCTGTGCACAGCCCTGGCCATTCTGCCAGCAGGTGGCACTGTGTGCCTACAAAGGAGACAGTCCCATGCCAAGGTTCTGGAACCCTTTCTTTCTGGGGCTCCCTTTCTGATTTCCCACACCACTAGTTCTCAGTGAGAGGGTCTTCACAGGTTCTTGCTCTCCAGTTATTCAGATATTATAGTTATTCAGGTGCTCAGATTCTGGTTCTGTCATTTCTTAGCTATCTGACCATGGGACCTGGGAACTTTTTATTTTTTATTTTATTTTATTTTATTTTGAGACAGGGTTTCTCTGTATAGTTTTGGTCCTGCCTTTCCTGGAACTCACTCTGTAGCACAGGTTGGCCTCAAACTCAGAGAGATCCTCCTGCCTCTGCCTCCCAAGTGCTGGGATTAAAGATGTGAGTCACTTACACTGACAATGTATTTATTTATTTTTTTGATTCATTCATTCATTTATTTATTTATTTATTTATTTATTTATTTAGAGACAGGATTTTTCTGCACTGATTAGCTGTCATGGAAATGGTCCTATAGACCAGGCTGGTTTTGAACTCAGAAACCTGTGTGCTTTTGCCTCCAGAGTGCTGGTGTGAGCTACCAAGTCTGGCTTTACTTATTTTGAGAAGAGGTCTCACTTTATAGAGCAGACTGGCCTCATACTTGAGGCAATCCTCTGGCCTCAGCCTTTGAAGTGCTAGGATTGCAGGTATGATCCACCACACCCAGCTAACTTGAATTCTTGTTCCTCCTGACTCAGCCTCCTTAGTACTAGGGTTATAGGCAGACCCACCCCATCCTGCTATTTGGCCATTTCTGAGATTTGTTTTTTAGTCTTTGTTTCCTAGTCTGTGTAAGAGACTAGTTATGGGGTTTTAGAATGCGTTTTTTCTCCCTGCTCTGTGGCGCAGAGCAATGAGCACAAGAGGTCAGAACAGAGAGCACTGCTGGAGGGATTGTGGGATGGGTTTAGGTGAGGGACGGTGGTGGTGGTGGTGGTAAAGTGTGTGTGTGTGTGTGTGTGTGTGTGTGTGTGTGTGTGTGTTCACATGCGTGATGCCTACAAAGGCCAGAAGAAAAAAGTCTTAGGTTCCCTGGAGCTGGGGTTATAGTTGGATCTACCCAATGTGGGTGCTGGGAACCAAAGGGTCTTCTGCAAAAGTAATAAGCATTCTTGACTGCTAAGTCATCTCTGCAGCCTGGAAGTGGATTTTTTATGCTTGTGAGGAAAGGGGCAGTCGTAGAGACAGAGAGAAGGGGATAATAATATTGTAGATAATAAACTTGTATTACCAGCTACTCTGGAGGTTGAAGCAAGAGGATCATTTGATCCTACAAGTTTAAAATCCTTCTGGGCAAAAGATAGTGAGATCCCATCTCAAAATTTAAACAAATGGGCTGAGCTTGGTGGGTCATGCCTGTTATTTCAGCACTCAGGAGGCAAAGGCATGTGGATTTCTGTGAGTTCCAGGCCAGCCAGAACTATACCAGACTATATTAATAAAACATGGCTTTAATGTGCAACGTGTTTTGTTTTGTTTTTCTGCACAAAAATCCTATAAAATAGACTTTTTTTTTTGTTTGTTTATTCTAGGTTGGTTTGGGTTTTTTTGTTGTATGTCCCAAGTAGTCCAGCCTGGCCACTGACTCTGTAAAGCTAAGGATGAACTTGAACTCCTGATCCTCTTGGCCTCTACCTCCCACATGCTAGAATTATAGGTCTAGGCTGCCACACACATTTTACCCTTTCTTTTTAATCCCTATTTTAAATATGGGGAAAAACAGAAGCCCAGAAATCTTAAGTACTTGTTAGGATCACATAACTTGTGAGAGAGAGAGCCAAAACTCTCCCTGTCAGCCTATCTTAAACATTAATGGAGTCTCTAAGGAGGCAGGTAGGACTTCCATATAGAGCCAAGGAGGAGGCTTTGGCAGAGGGCTCATAAGTACAGAGGCTAAAAGTTAAGGAGAACAAAGCGGTGGACAGTGAGGCCCCACAATCTGGGACCTGAAGTTCCTGAAGGACTGAAGGTACGAGAGGTGATAGAGGGGAGAGAGTCTGGTTAAAGTGAGGAGAACTGGGCAAATTCAAAGTTCCTCACCTTAGCGCAGGCAGGGTAGACACTAACTTTCCTGTCCGCTTCCTACAAGAACGGGTGAAGCCAGGGTTAGCATCTCTTACCCCCTTTTCCATGGGACTTTCTTTTTCATCTCAGGAAAAACTCTGGGAGTTCACATTCTTCCATGTCCCTGGTTGTTATCGAATATCCTGAATAAACAAATAAATGAGCATAGAATAGCAAAAGGTGAATGCTCTGGGCTTTGGATTTGAACCCCCGACTGCCTCTACATTCTATGACCACGCCTCCTCACTCAGGTGGTTTCCTTATACAGTCAGTCTTCATTATTCAGATTCCATATCTGTGAATTCACCTAGTCACACATTCATCTGTAACTACAAGACCAATTCTTGTGTCACTTTCGCAATTATTTAAAGGAAAAAAGTTCTGAGTGCCTAACACACATTTCCAGCTCAGGTGTGTCAAACAGGAGGACTCTCTGCCCTCAGAAATATATTTCAGCTCTTACAAGCCAGTGTTTGCCCAGCAGTCTAATTACTACCAATAATTTTTACTCAAATGTTTTAGTTTTGTTTTTTTTTTGTGTTGTTGGTGATGATGATTATGTTATTAACAGTGGTGCTGAAGAACTATAATCCAGTATTCCCAAGCCCGAGAAAGTTGTGATATGCTTTAGAGGATATGTATGTGTTAGATACTCGGCCTCCTCTTTTTGTTTTTGTTTTTTGAAACAGGGCTTCTCTGTGTAGCCCTAACTGTAGACCAGACTGGTCTCCCACTCAGAGATCTGCCGGCCTCTGCCTTCCAGGATTAAAGGTGTGTACCCACCATACTCAGCTTTGTTAGCTGACCTTGATTCAGATAGTCATGCAGCTTCAGTACTTAAGTCAATGTTTATGATGACTTTGTAAACCTCCAACTAATGGGAAGAGGGAGAATCAACTTCTACAAATAAGATTAACAATAGAATCTCCTCATAGGGCTGTGGTGGGATTCAATGAAATCATGTTGGTGAAGTACTAAGCTTAGTGTCTGGTTCACAGTAGGTGCTCAATAAATACTGTTAGTATTGTTAATGTGGATGAACAAAAATAACCAAGTGATTCCCCTCCCCCCGCCTCCCCCCACACACACCAGAGTTCATTTCCCCAAAGGACCAAGCTGTGCTTGTCTGGCTCTCGGGCTAGACTCCATGAGGAGGATTGTGAGGAAGTCTGATCTCTGTCTGGGTGGAGGCTGGGCCAAACCTGTAACAAAGAGTACCACCCTTAGGTGGGCTCCTTATGTCATAGAGATCTCAGTTGTCCTGGCCAGCAGAACCCCTCAGAAGCTCTTTGCAGCCATGGGGCCCCCTCAGCTTGTCCGTGCCCCTCGGCCTCGGGGCATGAGTTCTCCTTACCCCAGGCCAGGTACAGGTGGGCCCCGGAGCCGGTGTCTCAGAATGTTCAAGTGTAGCCGGAGGACATACCGGCAGAAACCCCGAGCCCCAGCTGCCACCAACCTTGCCACTGTGACCACAAACATCAGTGACACCAACAATACTACCACCAGTGTGTGGATCCTCTCACCACAAGGTCAGTGGGGGAGTGTGGGCTAGGGGATCTGCGACTCGAGGTGGGGGTTTGAAAAGTCACAGTATTCCCCTGTTCTGCTTATGTGCTCTTAGGGACAGTTTGGGGAATTCCCTCCCAAGGGTGTGGCGGGGTCTTGAGGGCACAGATCACCAAATGCTGAGAGCCTTAATGAAAACTGGCAAGACTGCAGTGGAGGGCTTGAGGGCGAGGGGCGAACTGTGGGGTTTTCACACATGCCTGTTTTCTTGGTGTGTGTGCATGTACACATGCATACATGTGTGTATGCATGCAGCGTAGGCCAAAGGACAACCTTGGATGTCATGCACCTTTTCCGGAGACAGGGCCTCTCACCAGCCTGGAATTTGTCAAGTAGGCTAGGCCGGCTGACCATCCGACAGGACACATCCATGTGTCTCTCTGCCTCCCCAGTGCTGGGATTATCAGCATGTACCACCACTCGAAAGCCTTTTTACCTGGGTTCTGGGATCGACCTCAGGAGCTAATAGGACTAGGACTTCACTGAGTTATTTCCCCTTGCCTCCACAAATACTTTTTTTTTTTTAAATCTTCCTTCTCTTTTCTCTCTCTCCAGTTCTCAGACACCTCTGTCAACCTGGGGGCTTTCTAATCCTCTAGAAATGCCCAGAAGCTTGTCTTGCACTGGACCTGCTCCTCCAGAGGGCTGTCAGCGGTGAACAACAAATACAATCATTCTGCTTAAGCTGTCTTACCCCATTCTGAAGTGTCCCCACTCTGCAGGGCATGAGGATAGGGTCGGGGCGGGATACTCTTAGGGGTGAACTTTAGGGACAGCACACGTGAACCACAGTTAGACAGCAGAAGGACGGGACAAGGTCAGCCAGACAAACCCATCTTTGTTCTCAGCATTTTGATCTGCCCTGTGAGGTAAGGGGCTCTCCTGCCTTATACTCCCATGGGCACGAGGCATCTTGGAAAGAACAAGCAGGCAGAGATAAGAGAGAGACCGGATGACAGACAGACAGAACCCCTCAAGTGCTCTAGTATGAGGTACGCTGGTGCTGGTCAGTATGTACGTGTGGCTGCTCCTGGGTGTGACGGGAGAATGCGCGCATTAAGGCACGTGTGACTAGATATGCCTTTTGTGACCGAATGTGCTTCTGCTCTCAGCCCAGAGAGTCAAGGAGTGCTGGTGAGGGCCGAGGCAAACCAAAGCAGCATCCGCTCAACTGAAAATGAAGGTCAGGAGGGGGAGGGGGCAGCCTGCAGGAGGGAGGGGCGCAGAGTGGTTAGTGTAGGAGGAGGACATGTCACCTTCAGCCCCCAGCCATCCTCTGAGGTCAGCGTTTTCCAGGACTGCCAGCTGAGCTGGGGCACTGGGGGTGGGGCAAGACTGAGTTTGAGCCCAGGAACAGGGGAGGGCGTTGCGCTCTGTCTGGCCTGGGGATTTTCCATTTGGATTTCTGAGTGCGTGCCCATGTGTCATAGGGTTTAACTAGGTTTCCGTGGGTTGTGTTTCTGTGGGGTTGTGTCTCGTGGTAGAAACATCGCGAGTCTTTGTCTCTAATGAGTTGATTTGTACATGGGCCAGTGTGAGGACTGGGGGGTGGGAGCAATCCCTAAGACCTTTGGTGGCCTATCCTCTGGGGTTAAAGAAGCCTGGCTAACATCATTTTCCTCTTGGGAGAGTACATCTACTATAAGCTTGCCAGAGCATGAGATCCTGTGGGCAGGGCTAGGGCAGATAATTCACAGTTACACTGGATCCAGAGAGTGCTGGGCTCCGAGGTATGGAAATAAGCTGCTGGACTTTAATTGTACCTGGAAGGTGGCTGGACCAGTGTCCGAGGCCCATAAAGAATCTGTACATCCAAATACATGACATAGTCCACTAACAAATGTAGACATGTAAATCTAAGTGGATTCGCATGTATACAACATAATTAGCAAATGCATGTATTCAGGCACATGCTATGAACAGAGATCAGCACTAACAAGAATGCAACAGATACCCACCCACCCCTTGCAGGAGGCATGCCCATACACAGACACAAACATACAAACACCCACACACAAGAACATAAGCATATAAACATAGACTCATGCAATCGGACTCATGCAAACTCAGGCACACACAGGTAGACACACTCACCAGACTTCCCTGCCCTTGCAGCCCTGAGGCCCAAATGCCTCCCCCCCAGTGTCACTGTGTGCAGGGCAAGCGTTCATGCCTTTGCTTATGTCCCTGTGTATCCGTGTCTTTGAATGTGTGTATGTGTGTTTCTATGTATGTGTATGCGGGGGGTGATAAGCAGAGGGAACTCGATGACATCATCTCTTCCAGCTATTTTTAGCTCCATCTGCAATGACTTCTCCTCCATTACCCCTCCTCCTCCTCCAGGTTCCCAATTCTCCTCCCCCTCCGGGCTCTCAGAGGAAGCCACAGCCAGAGGTACCCACTCCTTCACTTTAGATGGCGCCCCTGGATGATTGGGTGTCAACTCACTCGCTTTCACCCCACCAGAGTTCTTTGGTGGCTGAGAACACAGGGATGATTCCCAGACTAAAGGAGGGGGCTTGAGCTGTGGGGCATCGGCAGCAGGGGCCTGGGTTTAGGTGAAGGGCCCTGGCTGATCTGCAACTCCTCAGGGGCCTCTGCCTCTCGGTCTGCAGCTCTGACTCAGTAGCGCTTGCAGGGAGGTTGCTAGTTCTGGAGATGAGACAGGTGAAGACAAGGAGAGGTCTTCCTCAACGGGAGCCAGAACACTGGGAACCTGGAAGCTTTAAGGATGGTGTCTGTCTCTTTCTTCTCTTCCATCTCCCATCGGCTAGATAACATAAGGAATCCAGAGGGAGCACACACACACACACACACACACACACACACACACACACACACACACACACCCTACCTTGCACCCTTCTTTCCAGCAGTTCTACCTAGACAGTCCCACAAACAGTGCTTCCTCCTCACACCCTAGCTGTGCTTCCAACCCCACACCAACCCACCAAAGCAAACTGAGGGTCCCTCTTGCTATTCACATCGACTTTTCGACCCCTCCCCCTGAGTTGCTCTGTGGGAAGGCCGCGCTGTTCTCCATCTGGAGACGGGAAGACTGAACCAGAGAACGGGTAGCAGCGGCCCACACCGTATGGTGCTGGGGGAAGCAGCCCAGGGGAGATGGCAAGCAGGTGGAGGAGGAAGTGGTGGCACCCTGGGACAGCTGGCACAGGTGCCGAACGCACAGCCCAGGCAGGGAATCAGGTGAGGGGGAGGAGAACGGTAGCCTGAGGGGTCCATGCCAGGAGGAGGGCTTCCTGCTTTAGCCAGCCTTGGGCAGCCACCGGAAAATCGGGTTTGGCAGCTTCAGTCCTGTGTGTGCTCTGCTGGACTGTTCTGCCGGAAGGGCTGGAGGAGGGGGTCCAGATCGCTCCTGGGAGGTGGCCTGGGGCACGTCATCCTCGTCAGAAACAATGAAGTCCAGGGACCATTTGGAGTCCTTTGGAATGTAGGAAGAATAGTCCTGGACTGGAAGCACCTGCAACTGTTTTACTCTAAACCCTAGTGTGATGCTGTTGTATTCGTCCTGGTTCCCTTCTTTCCTGGCCAGAGAGCCCTCCAGGAAGGCGCTTTTTGAGATCGGGTTCCGTAAGTTTTTCTGGGAGTCTGACTCAGGCAGGGGCACGAACAGTCAAAGGATAGGGTCTGGCTGAACCAGACAATCCCCGGGGCACGAGGAGGCTGGAGTCCCCTTGTCACCAGCGGGTCAATCACCGGAAGCCCAGATCTAGGCCCACAATACAATACTGGTCACCCCACCCTTACCAGTGCCCTTACCCACACCCCCACTTCCGGCCTCTGTTCCTTCCTCCTCTCTGGGGAAGGCTACCGAGCTCCCTAAGGAATCTCTGTGTTCCCTCCCCTGGCTCCTTGCCCTGGCTTCACCCTCCCTCCCCGGCACCCATTCTGCTGCACACCAGCCTCCCGCTAAACTAGCTTCCACTGGACTCTGGGGCAGGCCAGAGAGGAAGGACTGTGAAGGAGATTGCTTCTCCTCAGGGTCTGGACATGAAAGGGCTTGAGGGAGATGGGGTGAGTGAACTCAGCTGGGGTTTAGTGTTGGATTGCCCTGTGACCCCAGGAAGAATGGCAATCCTTCTCTTCCCCTAGCCATCTCCTGCTGCCTTTAGTGGAACCCACAGAAGGAACCCCGGGGTTGAGACGCAACTTACAGAAAATAAACACAAAAACCCAGACCAAGTGGGCACTGCTTGTTACCATGTCAACCACAAAACTCATTAAACACACACACACACAAAGTCATGAAATTCTGGATTCATAGAGTCCACAGTCAAAGGATCTTGGATGCTTTTAGAGTTTTACTCTAAAATTTTGGAAGCTGAGGAATCTAGAATGATGGCATCTACTGAATCCTAGACCGACCACACACACACACACACACACACACACACACACACACACACGTTAGAATGTGCTTAAATTAGATGTCTGAGATGTCAGTGAAGTCCCACATTCAGGTGGATGCCTAAGTCAGATTTTCTGCTGCAGATGACAGAGCAGTTCATGCATGTGCTCAGTGGGAGAGGCAGACAGCCTGGGGTCCATGAGGTTAGACTGACATAATAACCCTGCCATACTGGACAGACGCAGACTCTGTCCATGAAGACGAGTTCCCGAGCACAGGGGGAGGGATTTGCAGGAGGAGACAGAGTGGAGCTATAAAAACAACGAAACAGCCTAAAGAAAGAATCATGGTCAGGTGTGGTGGTACACAGCTGTGCCAGGGCTTAGGAGACTTGGGGGGAAAATCGCTTGAATTCATGAGTCTAACACCAGCCTGAGCAGCATAGCAAGACCCTCGTCTCAAAAAGGAAAAAGGAGTGGGGGTATCAACAAGAAGCTTAACATACCAGCTCAGCCCTAGCATCTCCAGCTTCTTCATGATTGGGGTTAACCACAGCCAAAGACATTTCTGAAGGTTAGCAGGGTGCAGTGGATCAGGAGTTCAAGGCCAGCCTCAGCTATATAGTGAATGTGAGGGTAGTCTGGGCTATAAGAGACCCTGTCTCAAGAAAACAAAGCAAGCCTGGTGTGGTGGCACACTCCTCCAATCCTAGCACTCCAGAGGCAGAGTTTGATGCTAGCCTGGTCTATGTAACAAGTTCTAAGCCCGCCAGAGCTACATAGTGAGACCCTGTCTCAAAGTAAGACAAATCCACCAAAAACAGAATAAAGAACATTTTGGAAGTGTACTGGGGACTCCTTACTACACTTCAGGTCAACAACCCATGTCAGACTATTTTCTTTGGAAAGATACTAAACAAAACATACTTCAAGCTTTTCTTAGGTTCTCTGGGAGAAACAGACTATTCCAAGATGCTGATCCTTGATTTATATCAATGTCACATGTACCCCAGGTACTGGGGTTCAGAGTCCCCACAGTAAGGTCCTGAGAGAGAATCTTGTTAAGCGCATCTGAGATGATGCTTAGAGGAGCTGTGCATTAAAGAAGGAGGGAGCCAACCTGGGGTTTGGAATGTACATAGCTCAAGTAGTTCAATGTTTGACCCTCTGAACCACAAAGAATAATAAAATAAATTGATGTTAAACAAGGAAGGGACTTTTATTTGTTTGGTTTTTGTTGTTGTTTGTTTGTTTGTTTTGTTTTTCGAGACAGGGTTTCTCTATGTAACAGTCCTGGCTGTCTTGGAACTCTGTAGACCAGACTTGCTTCAAACTCAGAGATCCACCTGCCTCTGCCTCTTGAGTGCTGGGATTAAAGGCGTGCGCCGCCGCCGCCACCACCTGGCTCATACTCAGCTTGTCTTGAGGGAAAGTTGTATGGGGACCCTTGCAGAGCTCTGGGGCTGGTTATTGGTTAATAATAGACATATTTACCTAGTGTTTCTGGGAAGCTACTACAAACTCAAGAATCCAGAAGGAGCAGTTCCAAAAACAGGCAGATGCCAGGCCTTGCTGGGCATGGGAAATGGGGCA